GTGCTTCACACACATGGCGTTTTTTTTTTTTTTATTACAAAGTAAAGGTTTGTGGTAATCCTGCATTGAGCATGTCTATCAGCACCATTTGATAGCCTTTGCTCACATTGTTCATTGTGTCTCTGTGTTACATTTTGGCAATTCTTGCCATATTTCAAACTTTCATCATTATATTCATTACGATGAGCTGTGATCAGTGATCACGAATTGCTGAAAGCTCAGCTGACAGTTAGCTTTTTTTTTTAGCAATAGAGTACTTTTAATTTAAGGTATGCACATTTTTTTGATATAATGCTATGGCACACTTAGTAGACAATAAATAGTGTAGTGTGAACATAACTGGGAAGCCAAGAAATTCATTTGGCTAGCTTTATTGAGATATTTGCTTCATCGTGGTAGTCATCTCCTAGGTACTGCTGTATCTATTGACAACCTTCAAGATGGGATTTAAATAGGCTGTGGCAGTTGGGCTTATTTTCCTTTCCAAGTGAACCTAAGTCATACCGGTTGTAAGCGAACACTGCGGCTGACCAAACACCTAGCTGGCCTCTAAATTGGGACTATCAAACCAACAGCCTCCTCAGTCATTCTGATACAAAGGGCACACAATTCAGTGACAGCTGACAGACCCGGGCAAGGCAGAGCCATGGGTCCAATAAGCCTATTGCTACAGGGTATCTGAGGGAATTCAGGAATAGAAGTTTCTTGATGGAATTCAGGGCGCGTATATGCCTTTGTTTTGGCATATAACCAACGGCAGAATTCTGCCAGTTTTCTTTTTCAAATTCAGTTCACAAATTGTAAACAAGGGAACCACTGGCTACACAAGTCAGCAGTAAGGTTCTGTGACCTGAAGAACTACGCATCGCGGAATCGTTGGTAGCCCCTCCTGCTGAGATGCGGTGCCTTACCTTAGAGTACAGCACTGTGGCTCCCATATAATCCTTCTGCTGAAATTTTTTGTTTCCTTCTTCTCTGTAGAAAAGGGGAGCGTTGGGGTCCTTTTCCACCAGGTAGCCCCTAGACAGATTTTGTAAAAACATCTCATCCTCGGGTCTTCATGAAGAAAGAAACAAAACAAAAAAAGCACACATTTGTTATTTCAAGGGAAGTACCTTAACCACTGCACTTGAAACGTCGTGAGTACCTACCTGCAAAACACAGGGACACATGAGGTTGTCTGTATCGTGTAATGTGAATGGGGGGGTGGGAATCTTATGGCCTCAGAGGCATAGATACCAGAATTTCTATTTAGAGGACAGAATGCTAATTATTTATTTTATAATTACCACCCCTACGATAATGTATCATAAAAAAGCTTAGGTGTGGAGAATAACATAATACATGGTTTTGTAGCAGAGTATTCTCCACTTAAACTGTGTTGAAAATACTTGAGTGAATGGCTGACAGAAGGAGGAAAGAGAGGGGAAGAGGGAGGGAGAGGTAGGGAAAGAGAAAGAGAAAATGAAAATGAATCATAAAGTAAATGTAGTAAAGTATTAACATTTGAGGAATCTGAAAGAAAATACTGAAAAGAAAGTCACAGGCCCCAAATGGTATCACTTGTTAAGGACCCAAGTCAGTAAACCAAGACTTAATACCTAAGCTGACTGCAGTTGCAAGACCCCAGAAATGTAACCTTTAACCTCCAGATAGGAATTTACTGGTCAGCACTAGTAAGTTTACTGACAGACCCCTTCCATTCGCCTTAGGAGGGTGACCTTGCCTAAAACAATGGATTCTTTGCTAATAATTTCCTTTTTCTCCACACTCTCTCTACCTTTATTTTTTTAAGTTTATTTATTTATTTTTAAATATTTATTTATTTGAGAGAGAGAGAGGGAGAGAGGAACAGAGAAAGAGGGAGACAGAGAATCCCAAACAGGCTCTCGCCGTCAGCGAAGAGCCTCACAAGGGGCTAGAAACCACAAACTGTGAGATCACCACCTGAACCAAAACCAAAAGTCAGACGCCCAACCAACCAAGCCACCCAGGCATCCCTAAATGTTTGTTTATTTTAAGACAGAGAGAGGGATAGGGGGAGAGAGAGAGAGAGAGAGAGAGGGAGAATGAATGAGGATCTCAAGCAGGCTCCAAGCTGTCAGCAAGGAGCCCGATGAGGGCTCAGATCTCACGACTGTGAGATCAGGACCATGATATGATGACCCTGAGATCATGACCTGAGCCGAAATCAAGAGTGGGGCACTTAACCGACTGAGCCACCCAGGCACCCACATCCTCCCTACTTTGAGCTGTCAGCGCAGAACTGGGCGAGAGGCTCAAACCCAGGAACTGTGAGATCATGACCTGAGCCAAAGTCGGAGGCTTAGCTGACTGAGCCACCCAGGCGTCCCTCTACTTTTAAAAACCTTCCCTTTTCCATAGCCCTTTGGAGCTCCCTTCTACTTGCTAGTTGGGATGCTGCTCAATTCATGAATCAATTAACAAAGCCAACTAGATCATTAAAATTTAGTTGGTTGAGGGGTATTTGACTTAGGCTCAGGTCATGATCTCGCAGTCTATGAGTTTGAGACCCACATCAGTTTCTCTGCTGTCAGAGAGGAGCCTGTTTGGGATCCTGTCTCTCCCTCAATCTGCTCCTCCCCCATGCTCGTGTGTGCATGTGTGCTCTCTCTCTCTCAAAAATAAACATTAAAATTTTTAAAAATAAAAATAAAGTAAAATAAAACAAAATAAAATTTTCTTGGTTGGGGCATCTGGGTGACTCAGTCGGTTAAGTGTCTGACTCCTGATTTTGGCTCAGGTCATGATCTCACAGTTTGTGAGTTTGAGCCCTGCATGGGCTCTGTGCTGTCAGCTAGGAGCCTGCTTGGTATTCTCTCTCTCAATCTCTCTCTCTCTCTCATAAATACATAAATGAACTTAAAAAAATTTACTTGATTGAATTTTTGTTACTTAACAAAGTATATTACTTTGTTATACTTAATATACTTAACAAAGTATATACTTCTTAAAAGTATATACTTTTTAAAATATACTTAACAAAGTATATTACACAGCAATTATTTGTACTATTTTTATAAATTTTATTGTAAAAATTACTACTACTATTGTAAAATTACTATTTTACAAATAATTCTGAAATTATTTCAAACTGAAAAGGCTAAGTGTCTAACTCTTGGTTTAGGCAGGGGTCATGATCTCACGGTCTGTGAGTTTGAACACTGCATTGGGCTCTGTGTTGACAATGCGAAGCCTGCTTGAGATTCTTTCTCTCTTTCTTGTTCTGCTCCTCTCCTGCTCTCTCTCTCAAAAATAAATTAATAAACATAAAAAACCCCACAAATAAACACACACACTGGCAACGGAGAATACACCATTCTGCCAACAAGGAGAAACAGAATACCCTAGACTCTCTCTTTAACTGTAAAGAAAGTAAAATATGCATAATGTGAAAAATAAAAATTCCCTTTTTAAAAAATTCTTTAGGGGTGACTATGTGGCTCAGTGGGTTAAGCGTCCAACTTTGGCTCAGGTCATGATCTCACGGTTCACTGTTCATGAGTTGGAAGCGTGTCGAACATTTGTGCTGACTCAGGCTGAGCCTCATAGATTCCGGTGATGCTCCCTCTCTACTCTGCCTGCCTCCGCCCCCCATGCTTCTGCTCTCTCTTTCTCTCTCAAAAATAAACATTAAAAAAAGTTTTTGTTTATTTTTGGGAGACAAAGAGACAGAGTGGGGGAGGGGCAGAGAGAGAGAGAGAGAGAGAGAGAGAGATGCAGAACTGGCAGGTCTGAGAAGCAGGCTCCAGGCTCTGAGCCGTCAGCACAGAGCCTGACGTGGGGCTCGAACCCACGAAGCGTGGGATCATGACCTGGGCTGAAGTCAGACGCTCAACCAACTGAGCCACCCAGGTACCCCCCAATTTTTTTTAATTTTTAAAATATGTATTTATTTGAGAGAGTGAGTAAGCAAGCAAGCATGAGTGGGGGAGGGGCAGAGATAGCAGGAGAGAGAGAATCCCAAGCAAGCTCTGTGCTGTCAGTGCAGAGCCTGACGCAGGGCTCAATCTCACAAATCATGAGATCATGACCTGAGCCCACTCAGAAGCTTAACTGACTAAGCCACCCAGGTGCCCTGAAAACTAAAAATTCTCTTAAGCATTTCTTCTCAAAGAAATTGAGATCAGAAGTGTAGAATGTTTTTCAAATTTTTGTTTACAAAGACCCATAATAAGAAATATCTTTTACACTGTGATTCAGTCTGATGTGTCTATGTACAGATGTATTGAAATTTCACAAAACATTATCTTTACTATGTATGAGTTAATATCAAATATTTTATTAGTATTTAGATACAATATAGAAAAATATCAAAAGAAATAATATAAAAAGGAAAATTAGAAATTTTAATTAAAAAATTTTAATTTAAAAGGTGTGCTTGCCTGTTCTAAGTTTATTCCAGTCTAAAAACAATACGAGGATAATACCCTATGCGTATCTGGTGAACCATAGAGTCTGTTGTGGTTTTTTTTTCCTGTTTGTTTTTGTTTTGTTTCAAATTAGGGTAAATCTGAAAATCCTAGTTCAAGCAAAAAAGATTGTGGTGAATAATAATTATAGCAAAACTCTTCTTGCCTAACAATGGATACTCTTTATCTTAATCCAAAATGATGATAAATTCAGTGTTGTATAATTGTTCTTTAGTGCAATTAAGAACTAAGCTGCAATAATTCATTCTTTTCTTCAGGCACCAAGTTAACTCAGTAATTGATTCAAAGTTTTGAAAAGCAAATGGATGTTCTTTTTCTTTTTCATATTCCAAATTTTCTTCTGGAATAGTATGATAAAAAATTTGAGGAAGTGAGATAAAACAATTTTTCTTTCTTAAAAAATATATTTATATATATATATATTTTGAAGATTAAAAAAATTTTTTTTAATGTTTATTTATTCTTTGAGAGACAGAGTGTGAGTGGGGGAGGAACAGAGAGAGAGAGAGAGACACAGAATCTGAAGTAGGCTCCAGGCTCTGAGCTGTGAGCACAGAGCCTGATGTGGGGCTTGAACTCACAAACCGTGAGATCATGACCTGCGCTGAAGTTGGACGCTTAACCCACTGAGCCACCTGGTCACCCCTATTGTTTTTGTTTTTGTTTTTTTGAGAGAGAGTGCTAGAGGGAGAGAGAGAGAATCTCAAGCAGGCTTCACACCCAGCATGATCCCACAATCCTGAGATCATGACCTGAGGTGAAATCAAGAGTTGGACACTAAACCGACTGAGTCACCCAGGTGCCCCAAAACAAATAATTTTTTTTTTTACATTTATTTATTTTTGAGAGACAGAGCACAAGTGGGGGAGGGGCAGAGAGAATCAGAATCTGAAGCAGGCTCTAGGCTCTAAACTGTCAGCGCAGGGCTCGAACTCATAAACCATGAGATCATGACCTGAGCTGAAGTCAGATGCTCAACCAACTGAGCCACCCAGGTATGCCAAAACAATTAGAAAAAACAATTTTTCTAATTATTTTTACTGTGGTAAAATACACATGACAAAATTGACACTTTAACTATTTTTAAGTATACAGTTCAGTGGCATTAAGTACATTAACAATATTACGCAATTGTCACCACTATCCATTTCCATAACTTTGTCACCATCCCAAACTGAAAACTCTGTCCTCATTAAAAAATAACTCCTCAGGGGTGCCTGGGCGGCTTAGTGGGTAAAGCATCTGACTTCGGCTCAGGTCATGATCTCATGGTTCGTGAGTTCAAATTCAATGTCAGGCACCCTGCTGTCAGCACAGAGCCTGCTTTGGATCCTCTGTCCCCCCCCTCCCCCCGCTCCTCTCCTGCTTGTGCTCTGTGTGTCTCTAAAAATAAATAAATAAACTTAAAAAAAAATAATTTGATAACTCCCCATTCCTCCCTCTTCCTAGCCTCTGCTAACCTCTATTCTATGTTCTGTCTCTATGAATGTCTACTCTAGGTAACTCAGATAAGTATAATCATATAATATTTATCCTTTTTATGCCTAGCTAATTTCACTTAGCATACTGTTCCCAGATTCATCCATGTTGTAGCATGTACCA